CCCTCCTTGGAACACCATTTTATAAATGTTTATTGGAAAATCAAAAGGATTGGATTATATATAAAGCATTCTACTTACCTTGTAAGAAATTTTTCTGTTCTGTTTAACAGCTTTTAGCTCAAAGTGTAACTTCACTTTTCAGGTACAATGCAGACTCTAGAAACTGGCGATCCAAAGAACTAGGTTTAAAAGAGACTAAGGTAATATCTGGCAATGGCAGCTATCTGGCTTTGAGAAAGTGGCAGCCCTGATTGGATTCTGGAAAGCTGATTGGCTCCAGGGCTCCTGTTTAGGTTTTGTATCTGTCTCTGAACCACCTGAATCCTGTGGCCATGTCTACACATGTACTTAGCTGCATGGAGTCTTGCAGGAAGCTTGCCAGCTTTGGACCCTGTAGCCAAAAGAGCACTGTGCCACTCCAATGTCCCAAATGTCCCAGGATCATTAGCTATCCTCTTTCAGGTTCTGAAATGCAGTTGTAGGGACTTCACCAGGGCTTCCACAGAGAAGAACACACTCATCAAGGGAAGATTGTAAGAGGAGCTCAGTTGAACATGGTAAAAACTGTAGACATGGAAAACACATCCATCCTTGCCAAAATATTTCTTATGGTTCTCCTTTGAACAATCACTTTGCTTTTCTCTCACTCCAAGTCCTAAACATCTCCTGATTTTTTCTCTTCATGATATATTTGTTTTACTTTCCCGTCTTCTGTCATGAAATGGAAGTAGGTATGTTAAAACCTATACTTGTGCCTATATCCACGGAAGTGAATGTTGTAACTGAAATGCAAAGCTAATAAAATATGGGGAAGGTACTTAAAATATATATTATGTGTTTGGACAAGTACAGTTTTGGACACAAATAAACTGGAAGACACAGTTCTTCCTATAAAAACAATGGACTCCCAGCTGCAAATACAGTTTGAGTCAGGGCTTTAGTTTGGGTACTCAATTGTCACAAGTAGATTGTTGTGTAATGTCCTTTGCTGAACCAAGGAGCCACTCTTGGCAAATACCCAGTGACATAAAAATAATTGTTTTGCAAAGTAGTTGCATTCCTGTAAAATTCAGTATACATTAAAACTGAGAAAAATTACATGATGCTCATATCTAAATGGAGTTATGGTTGAGGCTTGTTTAATTATTAACATACTTTATCTGCATGATTACTGAAAAGTAGGGGGTTTAAAAATGTTAATTGAAAAGGATTATTTCATACCATTTATAAGAATTGTTATCTTTGACCACAGACACTAATATGATCAGTACCATTGTATACTATATAGCACCATGGCTATAATAATCCCAAATCTCCAAATTTCCAAAGCATCCTGGAATATAGATGCATTCATCCAAGCATACAGAGCAGAATTGCTATGAAGGGATTACACATGTTAAGAGGTTTGTTCTGAAGGAAAATTGGGAGGTAGAAATGGAAGGCTGGGAGGGCTGTCTGATTTCACTGTTTCTCCAGGTGGGGAGAGGCAGGGACTAAGGGAGGTAGGGAGGAGGTGAGCAAAGGAGTGAAGGGATGATCAAGAGGAGAGGAGGGGAAAGAGGTGAGGGAGCAAGGGAAGGGAGGTGTATTTTAGATTGTCAGAATCTGAGTCCCTCTTTTCCAAGTCCGAGTTTTTCCTGCCAAGCTGAGTCATTGACTGAACACACACAATAGGGACCATTGCCTATCCTAAATCCAGTAGTAGATTTCCCTGTAGAGATCCTAGCCATAGGAAATCTGAAAAGGGAGTTTCATGGCTACAAACAATGCTTTTTGTCTCAGTTTATGTAAGAATATGCCTTGGCTCAAACTTATCTAAAATTTTTTCTCAAGCATTACTTCTAAATATTTAAAGTAGGTAATTTTGATTTGTTCTACCATCAACTTTAAGTGTAAAGACTTGATATTCAGCATTCATGGGTTTATTGTGTACAGTTTCAATAACTTTTGAGTCATCCTAGAGGTCCTTGGTGTGCAATCATTTAAAACTGGACCCAGCTCTTCTTTTGGCCTTCCAGACCAGTGTTTCTCAACCTCCCTAATATTATGACCCCTTAGTACTATCCCAGACATGTGGTGACCCCAGCCATAGAACTTTTTGTTGCTACTTCATAACTGTAATTTTACTACTGTTATGGACAATAATGTAAATATTTTTGAAGATAGAGGTTTGCCAAAGAGGTCATGATTGACAGATTGAGAACTTCTTTTCCATAGCTTTGAGGCACACTTACACAATGAAGGACATGTTGTGCTATACCCCAGTCTAACTTACAGCTCATCTTCTGTCCCTTTCTTTGTTGAGTGTAGTACTTGTAACATAAAACTTCCTTCTGTGTAAAATATGTTGCTGGTACTGGTAATGGAAGTAATTGTTCTTATCTAGAAATGGAATGAAAAACCACACACACACACACACAGAGAGAGAGAGAGAGAGAGAGAGAGAGAGAGAGAGAGAGAGAGAGAGAGAGAGAGAGAGTCAGAGAGAGAGAGAGGAGAGGGAGAGGAGAGGGAGAGAGCTCTATATTATAAATAATGTAGGAAAATCATTTTATGTCTTCCAGTATTGCTTAAATTGATTGATTATATTTTAATAATAGGAATTGTGGGATTCATGTGCTTGGGAATTAAAAAAAAACTCCTTAGTACATATTTTTCAGAATATCATGAGTTCTGTGATGTCCAGACTATATTTTAGATCTCCCAAGAGGAGGACAATCTCACTACTTTATAGTTCCTAGCATGGATTCTTCCTAAGTATATATTGTTGGTTCAGTGGGTAGGACCCACATGGAAGGAGAGAACTGACTCCCTCAAGTTGTCATCTTCCACTGCATGCCATAACACACACATACACACACACACACACACACACAAATAATAATTTAAAAATACTTTAAAAATTTTAAGGAACGATGTGATCCATGCAATTGGTGATAAATAAATTATTAAACTGCTAAGTGAACCTCAGAAGCTAAGTTGGATGTTTGTTTCTGTTCCTAGTTCAACCTAAGCGCTGATATGAAGTGTTTCATCTCACCAGCAATAAATATATATCAGTGCCACACACATAACCATATATATGTGAGCCACAGTGAAGCAGCTGAGGCAGCTCTAGGAGGGAAAGACCATTTTAAGTCGCATTGTTTTAAGGGAAAAGCCGTTTTCTGAACTCTAGTTAATTATCGAAGGCATCATTTAGGATGTGACTTGGAGAAATGTTACCTTTAAATGGAGTTCATAGTTTTATTTGAAGAGAATTAGAGTGTTTGAAAATGCAGGTTGATAACCTGGAAACTTGATACCAGTCATTGGTGATCACTGTATAGTCTCCTGGGTGTTCAACAAGAAGAACCAGACAAGAAATAAGAGAAAAGAACTTGGATGCAAAAGTAGTCCAGTGGGGCCTCCTCAGCCCTCAAGCAATAATCTTGGCCATAGAGGGAAGGATTGGAAACACACAATCACTTGCCTGTAGCACAGTGCAGGTGGCATTTTACCAGTGTGCTGAGAACACATACTTCCTATAGGGGGCTGGTGATCCCTTAGCTCTAGCCCCACTCAGGTACTGCTCCAGACCTAGTGCTGTAGTCGACTGGGAATAATCCAAACATAGTTCATCCATTTGATGGAGCAACTTCAATGAAGATAATTTCTGTCTGGGTGTAGTATTTGTTATACCAATTAGAGAAGAAGCAGAAAAAATTATCCCCACCCACCATGATGATTCAATGAATCAGTCCTGAAATGATGAGGTTTTCTGCAGACTATAAGTTGGTACTAGAAAGAGATGTTCAAGCAATTTTTACAATTCTCATAGTACTTAATAATCTGCCCAGAATACTATGTAATTAAGAGTATGATTATAATTAAAACAATAAGAGAAACAATTGGCAGAAGCCTTTGGACATCACCACAGTAAAACTGCCAAGCACTTTAGATTCCTAATCGCCTTTCTCCTAGGTCCCTTTACACACAATTGTTGGATATGAATCTTCAGTCTTCTGATCACATAATAAGGACAGGATTTTAAAAATGAAAGGAGGAATGTCAATTAGTCTCTTTAATTTATAAACCACGTAATCAGATTAACTGAAGAAGACAAACATGTTATTGTTGAAAAACAACTGTTCAAAACAAACTTAAATGTTCCTAATTCTCCAACTTTCTGTGCTGTTTCATTGTATTACACCCTTATTACGGCTACAGCATTATTCTTTCCCATTGTTAAAGAGGTGGGTAATAATGAGATTCCCATGTGGTTCTGTGTTTTTTCCCATATGTTTTTTTTCATTGCAAATTGTGGTAAAAATCATTTTTTAGTTTGTGGTGAACATATAGCAAAGTACTGTGTCTTTGTAATAGACTTTGGAGTTCAATGAATTCTGCTCAATGGTGTGTGCTTTGGTGTCCAAAGATGACAGCAACCACAATGTGGGGCAGTGTGTCTTTCCAAGTAGCTCTGAACAGAGACACTGACTTACAAGCCACAGAAATCCCAGTCCTGGCTCTTTCTTTTTTGTGCTTTGTTAGTTACTGTCTTTCATATGGGAAGCATAGCAAAGAGCGCAAAGAGCATGTTCTGTTTATCCTCAGTTCCCTGCCTCACACAGCAGAGTGCCTGGCACAGTAAAGATGTCACTGAACTCAATTGAATTGGAAAATGCCAGCAGAATCATTGCCCTTTTGTAATCACTGTCTTTGGGAAATGTCAGGTTTCAGGTGCCTTTGGGAGGTTTAACCTAGATGGTGGTACTTCTGAAACCCACTCTTATCTTTGGGGATTTCAAACAGAGAGTGATGGCGCATGTAAGAACAGCCTCATTCTGCCTGGATTTGGTAGATACTTTGGGAAGTGGTTTCTGGAAGGACAAGTGTGGTGATTGATTTCCATTGTCAACTGCCAGGGTTTAGAATCATTGTGCTTTATGAGGCATTTCTAGAAGGTGGGCAGTACCATCACAGGGGCTGGGATTCTAAACGGAATCAAATGGCAAAATTGCTTGAGGACAGCTTATAACATGACCAACTGCTTCATGCTCTCACTGCCATAATGGGCAGTACTCTTAAATGGTGAGATGAAGTAAACCTTGTCTTCCTTAAGTTGTTTTAGGGAGGTATTTTATCATGGCAAAACAGCCAGTCACAGCAACATAAACAGTAACTTCATTCTGATACTAGAGGCATCTGTATCTCATGTCTGATGCTGTAGATTTTATGACATAGTTTTGATTGACTTGGCCATCTTGAGTCTCTCTTAAGAAAGAGAATAGTACATGTGTTACACAGGAATGTTAGTATTCACATGGATAGACATGAGGATTAGTATTTACCCATGTGACTCTGAAGAGCAGAGATGTTGCAAATTTTGATGTTGCAAATGACAAAAGTCAAAACTAGGCTGCTTAGACTGGAGAGAAATTTATGGACTCAAACATCTTTTAAGTTTAGGGGTGGTCCAGAAGTTCAAACCATATAGTCATGTTGAATTTGAGTCTTCTGGTCTGCTTCCTCTATGTGGTGCCTTGAGTTGGCTTTCTTTGTGGAATAAAAATGACCTCTGCAACACCAAGCTCCCCATCTTAGCATTCCCTGAGCCAATAGAGAGTGAAGCCTCTTCCCTCTCAGAGTCTGATTGTCTTCTTCTTTGAATTTTGTACACTCTAACTGGAATACTTTATCTTCTAGAAACCTTTGCTATGCCCAAATGTGGTGTTATGGCCTGGATTGTGTCCTCTCTCAGATTCTCATGTTGAAGTCCTAGATTTCCATGCATTTGTATTTAGAAATGGACTATTAAGGAGGTGATTCAATTAAAATGAGGTCATATGGGTGGACCCTAATTTAGTGTGACCCGTGTCATTATAAGAAGTAGAATTTTGGAAAAACACAGAAAGGGTTTATGAAGACACAGGAGAAGACAGCCAAGAAGACAGGCCTTGGGAGAAACTAAACTGCCAACACTTTTATTATGTATTTCTAGTCTTCAGAATTGTGAGAAGAAAACAAGTTTGTGTAATTTAAATCACACTGTGGTATTTTCTTATGGCAGTTATAACAGCATTAATAAAGAGAGCAAATATATGACTTTGTATGTGTGAGGAAGTCAAAGAAACACTCTGGAAATGGTAATAGGGCCATTATGTTTAAAATTTATGGTTAAGAATGAAGAAAGACGAATCCCCACAGGAGAGTCTGGTTTCTGTTTCTTGATAGAAGGACAATGAGTAGCCAAATCCATATGGCTAATGATCACTCCTATGGCACAGCATCATGAGAATGCTAAGTCATGCAGTACACATAGTGCAAGGCCCACACTGCCATAGATATATACACCCTGTGTCACCCTTCCTTCTAGTTAGGATCTATTCTCTCTTTCTCTATACAATATATAATTAGTTTCATAAAAGATCAGAGAATTTTGGCCATGATTCTACTCAATTTGGGCCAGGATTCCCCCATTTCTATAACTTAGCCTTCCAGAGAAGGCAATATTTCATTCTTGCTTCCCTGACAATACTCAGTTTGAGTAAATACTGTACTCTTAAGTGCTATGTGGCATTCTTCTACCACCCTCTTACAAGGGTCCTAACTGTTAAAGGGGGTTGACCACTGTTTGGATAATGTGTCACAGCTTACAAAGATCTTCAAGATAATTTATCTTTAATTATTTTATTTTATTGCTTATTTTCTCAGACAGGGCCTTGGTATGAAATCAAGGCTTAATTTAAACTCACAAATATTCCATAGCCTCCAAACTTCTGGGATTATAGGCATACATCCACATGTCATCAATTTTAATTTTTCATATATGTGGTGATCAAGTACATGGGGATCTGGATTCCTAAAATTGTGGGCTTATATGTAAACTACCTCTGTCTGCAGTTCCTTTATCTATAAAGTGAGGATGGAATCATTCCAATCCTACAGATAGATTACTAGGCCAAAGCACAACAGCTAATGAATATAAAGTATGTGGCAAAATTATTAGTCAGTAGTGGTAATGGTAGTGGTGTATGCTTTTAATACAAGCACTAGTGAGTCTGAGGCAAGTGAATCTCTGAGTTCAAGGCCATTTTGGTCTACATTGAGAGTGCAAGACCAACGAGGGCTACAAATGTAGTGAGACCCTATCTCAAGAAATTTTTAGCTCACATAAGCAGGGATATCATATCACCTGACATCACTGCTTCTGAGCTGCTATAGACTTTGTTCTCTGGAAGCAGACAGTAAGAAGTGGTCTTAGAATATGTTTGCTAGGGAGTAATCCTTGATATGTGGGGAGAAAGCAGAAGGATACAGAAAGAACACTGGAGGCAGTCCTGAGGAAGCTTTTAGCCTACCCAGTGTTGAGCTATGGAGTGAATGTTGCCCCAATAGAGTATTTCATGTTGAAGTAGTATGTACCTGCCTTTCTGCTATTCCTGAAATCAGTCATCACATGTTGGTGTACCAGAAGTGTATGACCTCAGATATACCTTGCTGAAGCCTGTCATGAAACAGCTGAGAGCTGTAGGCTTTCTGCTAATGGTTCCATTTAGTAAGTCAATACATCCTTAAAGTGCTGGGCCATGTAACACCGCCCACCATTGTGCTATACAGATTCATTCCTTATCTAGTCAAAGAGCAATTTAACAAGGCTTAATGAATGGAAATTAGAAAACTATCACCTTGAATTGAAATTCAAAAAGAGTGTTATGAATTGATCTATGCTGCTACAGTTGGTTCAGAGAGAGTCACATGTTTGCTTATCTCCTTTACCTTTCAGGCCATGTGGCTCTAATCCTCAATCATGCTACTTTTTAAGTGTGTGGTGGTATATAAGAATGCTAAAGAGTCCCACAATCACAGGTCTTCTTCTACACTTCTTTGTTGTGAATTGAGTCTTGACTCTGTGAGATACTAGGCCAATGGATGAATCACTCCTCAGTGAAATGTTAGAGGTGTCCTATGGACCTGAAAAGCAAACTCATACATGGGGTAAGTGTCTGTTTCAGTGAGGAAAGGACCATTGATCTTTCTTGAAGGGTCTAATGCTTGCAACTTTCCACCAAGTAGCTAGTATGGATCATTGAAAAATGACTTAGTATTAGGGTCCCAATGATGACTTCTGTCTGAAAGCTTGGAGCTTTTACTGCAGGAACAGTTAATAAGATTTGACTTACAGGTTGTATGTTCATTAATGTCTTCCATCTTTGCCATTGTATCCTGTTAGTTCATGTCCCCTTGCTACATCACTGTAGTGACCAATGATATAGATTTGCTACATAATTTAGTGTGATGGATATTAACAAACACACAAAATAAAACCCACCATGCTTACGGTCATCCCTGTATGCCCATACATATGATTGCATCCCATCTTCCTTGTACTAATTTTCTAGTACTTTCCATTCTGTATCCCTGCACAGCTTTATAACCTATTTAATGCTATATATGAGTTCATCTATGTTTTAAACTTAGGTCTCTTCTCTTTCCAAAAGGAAGAGTGAATGGCCAGGTGCACTGCCTGAGGCCCTTCCCATTGGAAAGGATTTCTCCCACTATTGCCACTTAAGGCAATCTCTTGTTACAATATTCACACACCAAACACACACACACACACACACACACACACACACACACACACACACACATTCATCTGTCTTCCAAATTCAGTGTTTTCCCTTTTCCTTTAGCTGAGCGTAAGGGATCCCTAACACAGCCATAAATGTTAATTGGGAAAAGCATGTTTGTGTATGATAGGTACATTGGCTTCTAAGCCATTTCCATGTTTGGCTTCATTCTAAATATGTTGCCTCTATCTTATTATCCCTAGTTGTTGAAAATGTCTGACTTTATGAATCTGTATATTTGTTAGAAGGCAACACATCATGGGCAGCTCTGTTCCTTCTATGCTCTGGTAGCATGGCAGAGCAGTGATTTTGGATGTCATTTGTTCCTTTGCTGCTGATGACACAGCCTCATTCCAAAACTTCAACTCACTATGCTGTGATCACTATGGACTGTTTGCAAACTCCATGTGACTCTTTTCTTACATATGATGCCACAAGTACTGACATCTTCACCAATTTCCTGCTTCATATATAAAGATTATCTTTTCCCAGTAAGGCCCTGGCCTTGGTTTACCTACTTGCCATGGTTGTACATTTGGTCATGTTAAGTTTAACTTTGTCTGATTGGATTCTATCATTGATTTTCCCAAGTATTACTCTGTAGCCAAAATGGTCTCTTGATACTTTAAAAATCTATACTCACTCTTAGATATTTGCTATCTTTCTACAACACTCCAATAGTGCTTTAAAAGGTTATGTTTTCTATTAGCCTCATACTTTTTCTTTCCTCTATCTCAAATGTCTTCAATGTCACATGTACTAATGTCTCCTTTGGACTGGTTCTCCATCCCAAGTCACCTTTCATGAAAGTTTTAACAGTTATGACAGCCTGTGTGTACCAGGAGCTGTCTATCCTTCCATTACCATTTAGGAATGGATCCTAAGTTTCTAGATGTGAGGTTAACGGGCTCTTTCAAAGGCCCATCTTGTCTTTGTTTTCTCAGATCACTTCTAGTAGTAACAACTCTCACAAGTTGAGTTCTTCAGGGATTTGGATATAGGCTACTATCATAATTCAGTACCGAAGGCATGAAGTGTGTGAACTAGAACACAGGCCTTTGCTCACAAGTATCTGACTTTAAAGCTAAATGGCTGCCTCTTTAGACCCCTGTCATTTATAGGTATCTGGTATAGCCTGCAAAGGGATGTATCCTCAAACAAGTTGGCTCTTTTAGCTAAGGCAACTAAAGATACTAATAGCTGGAGGCTGTTAGCTCACTGCAGCTAAACAGTAAATCTTTCCTTGAAGGAGGGTTTGATTGGCATGTCTCCATGACTACCATACATGTTGCTGTTAATCAGTTATCACTGTTTGTTATGCTCACTTCCACAAGGGTCCAGAGCTATCATTAAAGCATTATTATGGCGATTGTCTTTTGATGAGTCGAATTTTCGTTACTATTTTCCTTTTATGACCAATTCTGTGAAAAATTTTGGAAAGGGGTTGCATGAGTCAAATGGGCTTCAAGCACACTACATCCCTTCTAGAACTTCATGGAGCAGGACTGTAGTTCGTTCACAGGTTGAAAAGTCCAGTTTGAAAGGAACGGCTTTAATGCCACCCCCAGAACTTTCTTCATTATGAGAATTACCCTCACTTCACTGCAGTCAAGATTTAAAATAAGATGTGAAGACAGACCCTGTGGGAACACATTTAGGGCAGTTTTGGGCCAGAGCATTCCAATCAAGTGTCCTCTTTGTTAAACTGTACATAAGTTTCTGCACAAATGCATTGTGGTAGCTTGAATGAGAATGGCCCCCATAGGATCATATGTTCGAATACTTGGTCCCTGTCAGTGAAACTGCTTGGGGAGGATTAGTGGGTATGGCCTTGCTAGAGGAGGTGTGTCACTGGAGGGTAGGCTTTGAAATTTCAAAACACTTGGCCTTTCCCAGTATATTGTCTCTCCTTCCTGTTCATGAATCTGGATGTGAGCTCTCAGCTGTTTTTGCCACCATGCCTTTGCCTCACAATCATGGACTATAGCCCTCCAAAACTACAAATCCTATGAAATGCATTCTTTTGTAAGTTACCTTGGTCATAGTGTTTTGTTATAGTAACATAAAAGTAAACAATATATGTGTGGATAAAGAAAATGTGGAACAATAGAACATTATTTAGTTCTGAAAAGAAGACTGCTATCTCACAATTTACAATAATAGATGAGCCTGGAGGATCTATCAGGAGAAGTTAACAGGCATAGAATGACAGCACAGTATGATTTTGCTTGTCTGAGAAACCTGAAATAGTCAAATAGAGAATAGAAGAATGATTACCAAAGACTATGAGGAGGGAGAAATGGAGGATTGCTCATCAGGTTTAAAGTTTCAGTTCCACAAAATAAATTAGTTCTGGAGATCTGATATGCAGCACAGTGCCAAGAAGCTGCAATACTGTATCATGCACTCAAATTTGGGTCAGATGGGAGATTTCCACTTAAACAGTATTAACACACACACACACACACACACACACATACACACACACACACATAAAGAAATATAAGGGACCTCTTGGAAATAAGGGTACACTTACTACCTTGATATCAAGGTTTTGCAAGTGTATGCACATGTCCAACCTCAGCATATGGTATCTATTAAATATTTGCAATTTACTATTTGTCAGTTGCATCTCAACAAGACTGAAAAGAAAATCAACCCTCTATTTATTGTTGAAAACCAGCTTTATCCACGAAGCTTAACTTAGAACCAATGGAAAAAGTTGTAAGAGGAAATGGTTCTCTTATGAGGAAGTGGTACTCCTGGAAGAGATGAAGGGCTTATGTAGACAATTCCCAAACACAGGAATAGGGCAGGAAGACAGAAGCAATCAGAGCCGACAGCATAAACATCCTGCTTTCACTAAGTGGCTATGAAGGCTTGGCACTATTCTGTACACACCAGACAGAGCTGCCCCATGAAAGGCAGATGGCATGAGGACTCTGTGATCAGCAGTAGGACAGATGGGCAGACCTCCAAACCAAATGGATTTGTTGGCCTTTGGCGATTCCAGCTGTTGTTGCTTCTGGTATGCTCATGTAAACAGACTTCACATGGGTTTAGAGGAACATTTGTGTTGGTGAGGACCTTTCATGGAGCATGTGCTTAGAATGGTTAATATATTACATCACCTTACGAAAGCATGAGAGCACCTGTTTGCTCAGGATTTACTTATTAACCAACTGAAATCATGTGTAGAGAAATAATTCACCCATGAGAAACAACTTAAAAGTGTCATGTTTTCCTAATGGTGGTCACATTTATATACAAAGAGCTTAGAGTTCAGAATATTAGAATTTGTAAACACCTAACAATAGCAGACAAGAATGCTCATATGTAGTATGTCCGTAAAGAATAACTAATGGTCAGAAGGAATGAGAGAAAAAGTGAGTGGCAGTCCCAAATGGAATTAAAAATTGTGCCTTTTTCCTTCCTCCTGAAGTATGTCCCCCACTCAGGATCTTGCATTATCTTCTGAACAGAATGAGAGTTGGTATTTTGTGAACACATGCAAGTGGAAAAACTAAGTTGACCCTGTTCCTCTAATCTCTGTAGTTATGTTTTCAAAAAACTGCCTCCTTTAGACAAGGTATGTTTATGTCATCACTCTCAATGGTTGATCAATAGTGTATCTTGTAAGGTTGCCTGCATCTCTCTGGTCATAATGCAATTTCTATTGGAGCTGTACTATTCAGCCCCATTGTGTCTTTCTAGAACATGTAAGTGGTGTTGGAATATAGTCCAAAACCTTGTATACCACCACCTAGCTTAGTGTATGAATAACTTTCCTGTGACCCCTCCTCTATCTGTGTATGCTTGTAGACATCCAGTAGAAGAATGTATGATGTCCAGGGATGGTGGTGCTGAGTAGAAAGCCAGAAAGACTGTAAGTATGCTAGATGCATTTTATTAAGCTTCTAAAGTATTGGAGTGTATTTATTATAGCAACCAGCATGGCTTATGCTAACTAATATCAGAAGTCAGAACCACAATTGTGTGGCCATAAAAAATTTTTGTTTGTTTTTTTTTTTGTTTTGTTTTTTTTTTACGAGACAGGGTTTCTCTGTATTGTTTCGGAGGCTATCGGTCCAGCCTGGCCTCAAACGCACAAAGATCCGCCTGCCTCTGCCTCCCGAGTGCTGGGTTTGAAGGCGTGCGCCACCACCGCCCGGCTCATAAAATTTTTTTTAAAAAATCACAACTTAGAGTGGGAGGTGAGGACAAAAGTGAAATCACAAGAGAACAGAAGTCTTTCTCTTCTGCCTTCTACATAGAAAGAGGATCAGAAATAATGGCTCTGATGACTAGGTCATCCAACATGAATTCACATTAAGTGTTCTGAACTGCTGGTGAGGACCCTGCAACTAACTGAGAGGGGGCACTGGTTTTCAGTGTCACACTAGTTAATGGCGGCACTGGGACTTGAGCCCAAGTCACCAGTTTGCACCGCCAGTATTTGTTTTTATCTATTTAGTTATTCCTGGGATTTAAACTATGACAGGAAATAAATATCATGGGAGTAAGGGTCAGGGCTGACACACTGGCACCTTATCTTAGTACAGAATAGCAGAGAGGTCTACACATGAATTTAGCCTTTCTGTGTCTCCATTTTCTTACTCAGAGCATTTAGAATGTGGCTCTAGAATGGTTTAGTAAAATATATTCCACATGCCTTCAGGACATCAGTGACACTCAGGAAGGAAGTAGAAGGAAGAGGCTAACCGTGGTGGCCTCTGATACACATTACCCTTTCTAACCAAAGTATCTTCACTCACCTGTATGAACTAGACTTGAATTAAGGTAAGTGTGTATGCACACACACACACACACACACGCACGCACACGCACGGGCACGGGCACAGGCACACGTATATGTTGTGATAATTTGTTTATGATCTAACAGAGCTTGCCTGGAGATAAGAGTGCAAAGCTAGCCACAGCCATAGAGGCCAGACAGTGGTGATACGCACCTTTGATCCCAGTACTCAGGAGACAGAAGCAGATGGAACTCTGTGAGTTCAAGGTCACCCTGGGCTACATGAGAGTGAATCCCTTGAAAAGTGAAACAGAGTTCACACCTTTAATCCCAGCACTAGGGAAGTGGAGACAGGAGTGATATGGCTGGGTGGAGAGAGGACTATAAGGCAGGAGGGGACAAGAATGCATTGCAGTCTCAGTGACTCTGAGCAGTGGTGCAGTCAGGAGCAGTCTGAGGTTCAGTGGATGCCCCTACTGTCTGAACATTGAGAGAAGTGAGAACTCTCTGGTGGCTGGCTTTACTTCTTTCATCTTCAGCTTGAATCTCAATATCTGTCTCTGAGTTTTTATTATCCGTGCTACATGTATATATAACTTTTCCCTACATTTATCTGCTAATGCAATTTCGACCATTGAACTTGGACTCCAGCTCTGCCTGTAGGACTCAATGACAACACAGAGATGTTGCTGTAGGAACTGTTTGGCTTTGCTCTTTGATTATTAGTTTTGTCCCTCACATTCTTAGGTCTAACCCCACCTCGCTTGATGGACATCTGCTGGAGCTGTGTGCTCTTTGGAAATGTCATTCCCCATAATGCCCTACAAAGAGAAAATTCTATTATGCAAAAATCCCTCCACTCTGAATGACATCACCACTTCACTTCACCTTTTCAGGCCTCTTCTATTTCCCTGCCAGCCTTTTGCAAATATAATTCAAAATGAATATTGCCATTTTCATCAAGAGTGGAATTTGAGGCTTTTCTTGAAATCACCACAGCATATTCCCCAGGCCAAGGGTGAAGAACGACAAAGTAAGGCCTGAACATGCTGGAATGTGAAATCCTCTGATGACTGGGGAGCCTTCAGAAGCTCACATTTCCTAGTTGCCTAAACGATTAAAGCTTCTAACTACTATTGCCTTCTGTTATGTTTCCTCCCATCAGACTGAACTCACCTTGCCAGATTCAGAATTGCCAAAACCTAAATATTAGCTTCCATGTGGATTGCTTTCTGTGGACAAACTACACCAAAGCCCAGGGTTGCCAGGCCCTGGTATCTCAACATTCAGGGTTCTATTGTGAAGAGTCATGGCCATGTGTAATATCAAGAAATAAAGCAATAAAAAGAGAATGAAAAGAATAGGAAGTAGGGAGCTGAAGGGGTGGCTTAGTGGTAAGTGTGTTTGTTATTCTTAGAAAGGACATGAGCTTAGCTCCCAAATTTTATGTTGAGTGGCTTACCACTACCTGTAACTCCATCTCCAGGGAATCTCATATCCTCTTCTGGCCTCTGTAGATATTTGTCCTCATGTGCACATGCAGTCACATAGACATACACATACAAAAAGTCTTTCAAAAAAAAGAGTAAGGAGCAGGATAAGACATACAGTGTGAAGGCCACCTCGGGTTGACCCTGAGCCTTCCTTCTGAGGGTGTTGAGAGCCTCGGCTAAGGTTCATGAGGAAGAGAGTGTCTTTCTATAAGGAGGGGAGGGTCCCTTTAAAAGCACTTTGGGAGAACATTGTAAAAACACGAGGAAACCTCAATGACAGCTGTCTGAAGCCTGATTGGTGAGAGTGCCAGTGGCTTTTGACCACGATTCTTCCTTGAATTATTAAATCATTAATAACTACAGAACTTTCAAATATGTCAAAACTTTCCAAGGCAAAGTTTTGCTGACTTGTGTAGCAATACTTCTGAAAGCAATTTGGTGGTGGTGTTCTCACTTCATGTGCCCTTTTTGAAAACACCAACTGAGTCTACTTAGTATGGCTAGCATGTGCATAATTATAGGTCATTCACCGGAGCATGGGTAACTTCTCAGGGGCCGCATCCCTTAGGAAAGCGACTCTCCTAACTCCTCACCCTCAGAAGCTATTAATTGTCAATAACTCCTCAACAAGGGGTGGGATTTCATGAGTCCCCATACATCCTGGGATTCTGTCTGGCTTGATCTTTTTCAAGTGTTGTGCATTTAGTCAAAGCTGCTGTGAGATCATGTGGGCAATGGGCCTGTCATCTTTCACTGAAGACAGCCTCTGTTTCTGGCTCCTATAGTGTTTCCATCCTCTTTTCTGTGATGATCCCTGAGCTGTGGGAGGGGGAGATCTGATGAAGATAATTTTATTTAGAGCTTCATATTCTCTGCACATTGACAAGTTCTAGACCTCTGTATGAATCACTGTATGCTGTGAAAAGGAGCATCTCTGATGAAGGTTGAAGATGTACCCATCTATTAATTTAAATATAAAAACTTGGTGGTCAGCTATTACTATATCTATTAGCAGAGTAATAGAATTATGCTCTCTCCCAGAGCCTATGACCTAACTGCTCATTGGAATTTGGCCTAGTTAACAGTACCAGCCATAAGTTGCCTTTTGTAGAAGGACTTTAAGTCCAATCGAAAGTTTTTGTTTACTCTCATGATATTTGTGCCACTGTTGTACCAGCGGACATATTTTATAATTTTTATGAAATAGTATGATTGTTTCCCACAATGAATGCACTTTTTAAAAGTCCCACAAACAAAATTTGAGACTTCATGATCATATATCCTAATCAATGCTTGATAGTTTTCATTTTTTAATGCTGTTCATCTGAATAGGCATGAAATATTATCTTACTGTATTTTTTATTTTCATTTTCCAAATGATAAATGAATTTAAACATCTTCTGAGATGTTTTTGGTGGCTACTTATCTACTTTCTCTGGAAAGATACCTTTTAAATCTTTTCCAAGTTTCTATCTGACTTGTCTTTTATTGCTGAATTATGAGAGTTCTTTAGATATTTGGAACTAGTCCCTTTGTCAGAGAAATGATTTGTAAAGATGTTCTACCACTCTGTATGGTTGTCTTTGCATTTCCTTAATGACTCCCTTTCATACACAAAAGTTTAAATTTTAATTAAATCAAATTTATTATTTCTATTTGTGTTGTTTTGGCATCACAACAAAGAAATTGTTGCCACATGCAAGGCTGTGAGGATTCATTCCTATGATTTTTTCAAATCAGGGTTAATATTAAGTTAGTTTATCCATTTGAATTAATTTTACATATTTTGTGAAGTAGACTTCCAGCTTCAGTTTCTTTTGTTGCCCAGTTGCCCTAGGGCTATTTATATTGAAGATATTAGTTTGCTTCACTAAATGCTTGTGGCATCTTTGTTGAAAAGCGATTTGCCAGAAGTACAGATCTATCTCTGTACTCTTAATTATAGTTGAGAGGTTCATACATTGTTTTTCAAAGTTGACTTTGAGCAGAACAAACTCTCACTCTGCACATAATGCAGATGATTCTGAACTCATCTGTTGGAAAGTTTATGGAATTTTTCCCGTAAAGATGAAAAATGCCCATGGAGAGCCAGTATAGACTTCAGAGTTAAAGTGTATGAAGACAGAATCTGACTTGCCACACATAAATTGTGGAATATTTATAGGTAAAAATGTGCTCCGTGTGTTTATGCTGTGGAACATGACTTTAACTGTGTAAATGTGTGCTACATTTGTTGATGCTGCATCTGTTTAATTATGGGAAGATGTGTTGCTGTTTCACCTTGCCTGACTAAGGCGCCTGATTGCTCTAATAAAAAGCTGAATGGCCAAAAGCTAAGCAGGAGAGTCCTAGACAGGGTTGGCAGGCAGAGAGACTAACAGGCAAAATCTAGGCTCAAAAACAAACAAGAAGGAGAAGAGAACTAGGGAGACAGAGAAGGAGATGCCTGGTGCCAGCCAGCAAGCCAGCTGGCTGCTCCCCGGAAAGACACAGAAGAAGCAGGAGGAAGTTGGACTTATAGAAAGAAGAGGTAAAAAGTCCCAAGGCAAAATGTAGATGAAGATAAACAGGTTAAATTACAAGAGGTAGCAAGAAACAAGCCTAGGCGTTCATAACTAATAGGAAGTCTTAATGTCG